GGGACACTTTTCTCTGGCTCTTTGCATGGCTGGCTCACCATCCTCAGGGGGGACCTTCCATGTCACCAACTTAGAGGTGACTGCCCCTTCCAAAGAGCCTCTCCCTGCCCCTTCCCCTTCCCACCCCACGCCCCCATATGTTCTCTTCGTACCCTCTGCCATTTCCTCATTCATATTGAGGAAGTGTCTGCGGGACTGATCATTTCCTCATTCATATTGTGCTCATTTACTATCTGCTCCTGCACTCGAAGGCTATCAGCTTCATGAGGGCAGGGAACATTTCTGTGTGCTCCCTGCTGGATCCCTCCCCCCTGGCACGGTACTGAGCAGAGTCCGTGCTGTGTGAGTGAGCGCAGTCTCCTGTGTGCCACCCATGCATTTTCTCAATGATCACAATAGCAACAGGCACTGCCATCCTCCCAGATTTCAGTTGAAGACACCGAGGCAGTAAGTAGCTCCCAATCGTTGCCGCAAACACAGGTGGATCTTTTAAAGCTTCCAAAGCCCAGACCACGCCCCAAGCTAATTAAGTGACAACCTCGAGATCGGCACACGGGTGCTGGGCTTTTGGAAGCTCCCCACGTGATTCCAATGTACCCGAGAGCACTGAGGCTTAGGGCGGAGCGACTGGCTTGGGGTCTCGATGGCAAAGCCGGGACGTGAACTAGGTCTGACCTCTCCCAGAGCCCAGTTTCTTAACGGGAACACCCTGTGGGCTTCATGTGGGACCCGGTTCTTGTTCCTCCGCAGCCCCTCTGCCTGTCCTGCCGGGATCTGCCTGCCTGGAAGTGGGGTCCCCTCTGCCCAGCCTCCACGCTGCCGCAGCTGCACTCACGTGTTGAGGGCCGCCCCGTGCTGAAGCAGATAGTGAACGCAGGGGAGGACCACGTTCTTGTTCTCCTTGTGGATGACGAGGTGCAGCGGTGTCTGGCCATTCTTGGTGGGCAGGTCCACGGGAAACTTGTACTCCTCCACCAAGACCTGCAGGCACTCGAGCTTGCCTTTTTGGGCTGCAAAGTGGATGGCAGTGAAACCCTGTGGCGGCCAGAGGAGGGCAGGAGGGGGCTGAGCAGGGGGGGGCCCCAAGGTCCAAAACCGAACGTAGGTAGCAGTTCCTTGGGTTTCCCCTCCCCCCTCTTCCCTCTGACCCTCCTTCCCCCCAGGAGTCACTCACGCCCCTTTTCTCACGCTGGTATGTGCTCACTCTTCCTTGATGTCCCCAAATGCCACCCCCCACCCCCGCAGTGGGAGGTGAATTGGGACGACCTGCCCAGAAAAGGACACCTCTGGGTGCTCCTTGCCAGGTGAGCACTGGGTGAGGAGCTCCTGGCGGGAGGGGAGGCTCCTTGCTCCCGCACACCAAAGCCTCCCTTACCTTGTTATCCGTGAGGAATCCCTCAAGGTCCGGATTCAGACAGAACCGCAACCATTCCAGGTTGCCCAAGGCGGCTGCGAACCACTCGCAATTGTTGCTCTCTACCCTCTCCTGGATCAG